CAGCGTACCAACGACCGTTGAAAATAATTCAAATTCAAAAAATTCATGCTACTTTGATCGGCGTTGTTGGCGCACAAAGTTCTGCTGTGAGCATGTTGGATAGGAATAACTCTCGTGCTTGTCACATATCAGCACTCGGGGTGCCCGGCCCAAAGTTGCGACCCATACAACAGCAGCAGCGAGGGTGTCAGGGTGCTGTTGCGCGCGGACACATGAAGGGTGCGGACGCCACCGAACAGCACAAATCCACGACCCTGGAAGCCCCTGGCGTTGAAATCACTCTGACACCTACTCCCCTAGTACTGCCTCCATGTCTCCCACCCACCTGCAGCCAAGAGATCCAGCTTCTGGCCCACGGACGGCGTTCAGGACGTTCTCTCCAGCGGACCAAGATGGAGCGGTGCACCCGACAACGGAAGATACCACACCCCCGCACGGAGCTTCACGCCAAAGTTACTACCTCGTAGAGTTGCTCGAATCGCACGATACTCGGAGGGTGTGCTTATTGGGGTGTTAGGTGCCGAAAACACCCTGGTAAAAATTCGGATCAGCACTACAGCGGGAGCTATTGCAAGGTTTCTGTCAAACCCTATGGCTAAGCGTGTTTTGGGGGCGCGCAGATGGGGAGTTTTTTGGTCGGAAAAAACGAAGAAAGCAGCCATACGGGGCCCCCAGCAACGCCTGTGTCCTCGCACACACGGGCGGATCAGATCATCTCAGTGTGTCATTTCCATACCATGGTGATGCGATGCATTGTTCTACATCAGGCCTATAGACTAGAAGAGTGCGTTTCGAAACATTTTCTGGGAGCGCCAGCTCAGGAGCTGCGGTCACACCACAGCAGCGGCGGCCTCTCATGATTTACTAACTCTCCGCCTTTTTTTGCGGTACTCGTCATTTTTCTATCGCGGGGTGGACCAAGTCATGCCTTTCCCTCCTCCCCGACCGGGCCCCCCCACTGTGCATCCTACGTACGTACCAGGAAGCCGAGTGTGCATCGATCATATGGATTTAGTGTACATTGGGGCAAATTTCCACCTTTTCTTCTTTCAAAGGGGGCACACTGTCTGGAATGTGAGATTTTTATGCCCCAAGAACAAGAGCGGCGCGATTACATCGCACTTTTCACAACACCAACCCGCATGTCATAGAAGCGAGAGGCAAAGCGCCAAACGGCAGCGGCAGTGGGGCGGCCGATCGTCAGCCCAGGCTCGATCGTTATGTCTTCAGCAGGAACTGGATCACGAGGTCGCGGAGACTACGGAAGGGCCGACATAGGCAGGTCGGATAGATACGAAGCGCCCACACAGCAGCCGTTCCGGGCCTTATGTGTGGAAGGCATCAGACCGCGGGACACATGAGCATCTCATCGCAGTTAGTCTCGACCTGAAACCATATGGATTTGATCACTTCTGCGCTCATTGCGATCAATCGGAGGAGAGGCTCGAGCGGCGAGTAAGTTTCGATAGCCACGGCACAGTGAGCAACAGAGGCGTGAGTGGGAAAGAGCCGAGTTCAAGCCGTAGTAGCTCCCAGAATCCATACATGAGCTCACAAGTAGCAGCCGCAGCCGCANCCGCGGGACACATGAGCATCTCATCGCAGTTAGTCTCGACCTGAAACCATATGGATTTGATCACTTCTGCGCTCATTGCGATCAATCGGAGGAGAGGCTCGAGCGGCGAGTAAGTTTCGATAGCCACGGCACAGTGAGCAACAGAGGCGTGAGTGGGAAAGAGCCGAGTTCAAGCCGTAGTAGCTCCCAGAATCCATACATGAGCTCACAAGTAGCAGCCGCAGCCGCAGGAGCAGCAGCAGCAGCATCCGCTGGAACTGGAGTCCCTCACGCAGCAGGAGCAGAAGTAGCAGCAACACTGTCGGGTGGCATATCTGAAGGTAGAGGGGCGGCGACGTCGGCGGCGGCGGGGCGCCTAGGATTTTTCATCATGTTGTAATTCTGGTCAAGTTTCTAGACTACACGGCAGACGGTTACAGCTGGTGCCGGATCTTCAGCCGATGACCTACGTGGCGTGGGCGCCTCGTCGTCGGCAGCCAGTAGATATACGGAGGAAAAACCCATGGACGAAGATGAAGAGTGCGTCAACGGAGAAGAAGCGCCGGAAGGAGAGGCAAAGGAGGGAGATCGGGAGCGATGGATGAATGTCGAGTTACAAACTGCCATCACGAAACAAGCGAAGATGGTCTTGGACACTCTCCCCAAGATAGCCGGCAACGGCACGCTGACTCCACCACAGTAGATAAAGGAGCGGCATCTGCCGCGCAAGTATGTAGCGGCAGCGTTTAATCGACGTTTCCCTGACGCCCCGATATGCCGGCCCGCAGACAGCCCGGAGAAGCGCGCCGCTGCGGCCATGAAAGCGGCGAAAGTGACACCAGCGATGAGTACCCGGGTCGAGAAGGGAGCGATCATGGATGTGCTTTTGAAGGAGCCGGCCATGGCCGTTTTCGCGACAACATAAGTTGTGTTCGCTCTCTACGTGTACGAGGTGGTCTTCTCCGAAGAATTGGTCGGCATTCCAGCTATCCAGGCAAGTGCAAGAATGAGCGAAGGAGCCGATGACGGTACCCGACCCTTTTGGCCTTTGTAAGATGTTGCGCGTGCGTGCCGAAGGTGCGTGCTGAAAGGTGAACAAAGATGAAAAAGAAACACAAAAAGTCGTCGCATATTCAAATTGTTGTTGTGACTAGTTTTCTGTTGATAATAGTGCATTTTGGTTGACACGGATTACAGCAGTGTTGCGCACGCTCATGATCTATCGGCTCATGCCATTGTCGACGTTGTTGGTCGGTTTGCCCCCCTCCCTTCCGCTGCGGCAAGCCCACAACTCTTGTTTGAAGTTTGCATGACGGGAACCTTCAGAAGTTCTGACAGAAAGCGCCGAACTCTGTTTTGTTGGTGGGAAGTTTTGCTCTTGATGAGACCTGCCGCCGCCGCACTCAAGAGTCTCTGTCAGTGATTAGCCCTCTCACCTCATACAAGGGACACCGCCTGAACAGAAACGAGCATCGGAACAAGGCCTGACGTAAAGAGCCCTCTCCCCCTGTGTTGATTTCTTTTCAGGTGACAACCCCCGGCGGGGCGAAGGGAGTCAGAATGATCTGTCCAGGATGCAAATCGAATTCGGAAGTGAAACCTCCTGGAGTCAGGGCATGACTTCCCAAATGCGGGTGCTCAAAAGGCAAGCAGAACGTTTGCGGTATGAACTTGTTTTTCGACTTGATTTCCTGTTGGTTTTGGTTCGCTGTTGGTTGATATATCTGTTGCTTGTGAGCCGTCCGTTTATGTCGGTAGTCCCGGAAGAGTCATCTGTTGTAAGAACACGCGCGCTAAGTCTTTGGGTCCTTCTCATTTCCGACACGTTCTGAATGCCGTCTTTCTCCGTATTCTTCTCTTTGTAATTAGCCCTCTTTTTACGGCAGGTACGCGCGGTACCCGACGTTGGCAGGGTCGTGGTTCCGTTGGCGGGCAGGTATTCCTGCACGGCCTCAGGGTGCCCACTCGTCTTGGAAAGTGCCAAGAAGGTGGCCAACAAAAAAAGTGGTCATTGCGGATGACGGGTGGGACGAGGCCACCATCCGCGAGCATTGCCGCCTTTACCACAATGGACGGCAGGTACGGTGATGATTTATTTAAGCGTGTACTAGTAGTATTTAGCTTCAATCTTGGCATCGCATTGCATTGCGAAAATTACACGCACAAGGATCGCCTATTCTTACATGTTCTCGCTGAGTCACTTGACCACTGAAATTGGGCAGTTATATGCAGTTGCTACCTGAGGAGATTGTCTCGCGATTGCCTTTTCGCTACTTTAGGCAAAATGGCACGTCAGAGACTCTACTGGACCAAGTGAGAGCGACGGAGGGCGATCTGCAGGTGCAACCCTAAGCTGAAAGCGGTTCCGTTTCTTTTTCGATCGTCATGTGTTTGGGCAGCTGGGTTGCACCCTGCTTGTCCTCCTTGATTTTCGCTGTGATAAGAGTGACTCCACTGAAAACTCGTTGGTCATCCGCCCCATGTGTTTGCTGTTGCTTGCTCCACTGAACATGAAGACGTGTCGCAGGATCCTGGTCGCAGGCGAGCAAGGCCAAGAGCTACGAGAAATGCATTGGTGCATCCGGTTTTGCGTTCTGTCGTCATCCACAGGACAAGGAGCACATGCAACGCGAATCCACTCGCAGTATGGGGGGCAGTTCCTGTGCATGGATGGCACGTGGCGCATCGGTTTGAGGGTCATTGATTCTCCGGACTGCCTATTTTTCCTGTTGGGGGAGGACGCCAAGGTTCACGCGTACGGAGCTGTGCAAAGCGAAAGGAAGGAGGAAATATACCTCCTTCTGAAGAAGTATACTATCGTCAAATTTGATGTCGGCGAGATTGTCGCGAGACTGTTTCCTAAGGACATACGCGAAAACAACTGTCGGCGAAATTATCGCAAAATGCCTTTGAGCTGCGTTGAGTCAAAAAGCATCATATATGGTGGTAACGAAAGATGCCACGTTTTGTCCGCTCTTACTCGTTCTCATCACCCGCATGACGCCGCAGGTACGCGGAGAGACGGAGGAGGAACGGCACGTTGCTCGCTCTGGAGTGCTTGTACGACGACCTCTGCTGTAGAGGGGCTGATGATGTCACCAAGGGATGGATACGATAGTCAGGACGTCCTCTGCTTGGACTTCTACTTCGACACCGCCGCCGGCATCGAAGCGCGCCAGAGGGGACAGAGATAGAGCGAGTGAAAGAGTCGCTAGCGGGGTGCCTTTGAAGCTTGAACAGATCAGCACCCTCATGGACGCAGTCGCGATCGCCTACCTACATGAAAGCCTGCAGGGTTGAAGTTGACAGGCAACGTTGCACTCAAGCAGAAGAAACTATCGGACTTTTTCGAAAGCAACAATATTTCAGACTACAGGTACTCTCCTTCAAGGCCTGAGACCTCGCCCGCGCCCGCTGTAGGACCCGCCAGTGGGCACATGTCAATCTGAGGGTTGGGGACTCGAATTATCTGCTGGTGTTGAGTTGTTGTAGATGTATTTATCGGCGGGATCTGCTCTTTCTCCACCTTTGATCCAGACAAGTACGTATTATTTATGATTCCATGCGTCGACCGTCAAGGGTGATGGCTCTGTCCTCCTCTATGCGTTTTGTTGTCTGGCGTATGTGTTTGCCTCCTGCGTGGGAGACGGGATAGATATTCCGTTCGTCTCGTCCCGCACGACCGGTACGGATGGAGTAGAACTTCTTTTCGCCACGCCGAGCACGGATTGAAGAAACAAGAAAGAACAAATGATACTCGGAGTGCACATGATACGCCGAGTCTATAATGATATGGAACACTGCGAACGCACAAAGGACAACAAGCACATTTGTTTTCCTCCGCTCGGCTCTCATGGTTGGCATTACGCAGACACGCTCACTTTACCCACTTTAGTGTACACAAACTCCAGCGGGACGTAACCGTGTGCGGCAAGCAGGCGTGCCGGACTTCAAGCAAACAAGAAACAGCACACCTCGGCAACAACACGTACAACAGCACGAACAGATCTTGCTCTGTTGCTGTATCATGTTAGATATACTCGTAGCATAAGGAAGATGGTTGAATATTGGACATGGATCTACGGAGATTGCAATTGGTAGATTGCGAAGGAACAGGGAGGCGGCGGCAGCCGCGGTGGCGGCGGTAGCCAGCGAGGGGGTAGACCGCCGCCGGGGCCAGGCCGCGGTGGCGGCCGATGGGTGAGGCTAGCAGGGCAGCAGCACCACACCGGTCATGGTGGCGGTGGCTGGAGCCAAGCCTCACCCCCCCCGAGACCTCTTCGTGGACGTGGGCCTGTTGATCGTCTGGGGCGTCACCCGGGGGGTCGTGGGCCCGCGGGACGCCACGGTAGCGACGGGCGTGCCGAGAGGGAACGGGCAGAGAGAGGCCCGGGGCACTCGCGTTCTGGCCACGGAAGAGAGCAGCCGTACGTTGTGACTACGCCCACGATGATGGAGGCTACTACGGAGACTACGGTGACTACGACGACGGCTACTACTACGAAGACGGCTACCACGACGCCGGGTACGCCCACTACGCCGGCGGTGGGGACAGCTACAGCTACTACTCAGGGTAGGAAGACAGCCGTTCATCTGACAGCGGCATCCACTACGTGTACTACCCTCCTGCCGGCGAAGATTCGTCATCCNTCGCGTTCTGGCCACGGAAGAGAGCAGCCGTACGTTGTGACTACGCCCACGATGATGGAGGCTACTACGGAGACTACGGTGACTACGACGACGGCTACTACTACGAAGACGGCTACCACGACGCCGGGTACGCCCACTACGCCGGCGGTGGGGACAGCTACAGCTACTACTCAGGGTAGGAAGACAGCCGTTCATCTGACAGCGGCATCCACTACGTGTACTACCCTCCTGCCGGCGAAGATTCGTCATCCGAGCAGCAACGTCAGCCCCCCAACGCGAGCAGCAGCATCACCGCTTCCTCCTCGTCCTCTACTCCTTCTCCTGGCGCGCCTCCATCTTCGGGCTATCTCCACTCTGCACGGCACAATCGGTGCCCCTAGGCAAGTCTCACCCTGACGATTTNACGCGAGCAGCAGCATCACCGCTTCCTCCTCGTCCTCTACTCCTTCTCCTGGCGCGCCTCCATCTTCGGGCTACCTCCACC